GTGTGTATGTGTATGTGTGTGGGAGGGGGGAGGGAGTGGGCGAGAAATGCAAAATAATATAGAACAATGTAACGAGTATCAACCTGCCTACTAACAAAGGCTCAGAGTTGGCTAAATCCAGTTCAGGCCTTCGTGTGCGCTTCAAATTACAGCGAGCGGGCCAGTGAAAAGAAGCTTCACTTCAAACGAACAACGAAAGAGTGAGTTTCACAAAAGCGTAACGAATCGTTTCCAAATGCATAACCTTCTCCTCTCGTCTATCAACGCCATTTTAGCAGCCATTTTGACCCTTCATTTGCAGTTAAGCTGAAAATGTTCTGGAACATAAACTGTCAGCCAACTCGGCAATACTCTGAAGTCACTCTCCGGCCTATAAAAATGTCTTCTTTTCCGCTGCGCTCTTCAAGCGGCGTATCCCCAAAGAGAACGCTTTATTAACCCAAAATATTTGCTCTGTTCTCCCGGACTTTTCACTCACGCTTGTGCTCCCACGCTGTGTCTATTTTCCTCGACTTGATTGTTGGTCTAGACTCGGCCTCAAGATGCCACAGAACCTGGCCTTAATCAGAGTAGACCAAAGGGATCTCTTTTAGTTTCGTAAGACGTCCGATTTGTTTCCGTACATGTGCTTTTGTTTTAGTAAAAGTTTTCATGCACTTTCAGTTGTTTTGTTGTTGTTGTTGTTGTTGTTGTTGTTGTTGTTGTTGTTGTTGTTGTTGTTGTTGTTCCTGTTGTTGTTGTTGTTTTGGGGGGAGGCGGGTGAGTGGGGAGAGGATATTGGTATTTCAGTCTTTCTCTTGGGATGCTGTATCCCTCTCAGCCTGGGTTGGCTCTGACAGGCATGGTTGAAGCCCACCTCCTAAATCATCTAAATTGTGTCGATTGGGGCGTAAAACGACACTGTCATTAAATAAAACACAAATGAATGAATGAATGAATGAATAAATAAATAAATAAATAAATAAATAAGAGAACTGTCCAGCACTGTACTCGTCGCGTGAAGTGCGGGCCCGCTCACAAGCTGCAGAAGCACCAAGAGGTAGCTCGTTTTTTGAAGTTTTAATAGGAGTTTTACGGCACTTGCAACACAAAAAGATCATATAAGTGCCAAAGATTAGAGGTGTTACAAGAGAGTAATAAACACGAAAAAGGAGGAGCACAGATCAGGATGATAGATATTTAATTGGAAAGAAGGAGCAAACCACATCAGAGCACCCACCAACCGCCTGCTAGCTCGTGTTTCTAAAACGGAAACAGTAGAGATAAAAGCTTTTCAACCTGTGAGTGGTGTTGATATCTTTGCACAGTTGGATGAAACAATGCGCCGTCTCAGAAAATTAACCCTCTGGAACATGCTGTTTAGAAAAACCATCTCTTTCAATCTATCCCTTTACCTATCTACCTTTCTGTCGTTACATCAAGTCTCCCCTATCTCTCTCCCAGTCTGTGTCTATCTGTTTCTCTCCCTACCTATCTATCTGTTTATCTATCTATCTATCTATCTATCTATCTATCTATCTATCTATCTATCTATCTATCTATCTATCTATCTATCTATCTATCTATCTGTGTGTGTGTCTGTCTCTCTGTTTCTCTGTCTCTCTGTCTCTTTCTTTTTCTGTCTCTCAGCTTCCTATCTGTCTCTCTATAATAATATATATCTACCTGGCTGTCTTTTGATCAACCCCCCCCCCCCCCCCCCCACTATATCTCCGTCTTTTTCTTTCTTTTTTTTCTCTCTTTCTCTTTTTCTTCTCCATCCCCTCTCCTCCCTCTTCCTTCCCTCTCCCCTTCCAGTTCCCCCCTCCCTTTATTTCTGACTGCTAACCCACCACCACTAGCAGGCAAGTCGCGCGTGGGTCTAGGAGAAATAGATTCCAAGATCTCTTCCCTCTTCAGATGTGATCAGCAGATATCCCCCCCCCCCCATCCCCCGAGTTGTTTCCCCTGTCTATCTATTTATCTATCTATCTATCTATCTATCTATCTATCTATCTATCTATCTATCTATCTATCTATCTATCTATCTATCTATCTATCTATCTATCTTTCTCAGGGGCGAAGGCTGACTTGTTTGACAGGGTAATCAAAGTGAAATGGGACCAGATATGGCCTGTAGATATCACACAAGAATCTTACTCGAGGCGGCGACTCTGAGTTGTGAATGAAAACAAATCCGGAATTCATATTGTATGTTCAACCGCCAAAATAATCGGGAAAGTATCTTATTAAATATCAGTTCCCACTAAAATTAAACTTAACTTTAGATGTGATAACATAAACACAAAGCAAAGAAGCAGAGATGTCAGTACTAGATCTATATGTTATAGATCTACCAGTGAGTCTAACTCTTTGGTAGAACATGACAATTACTATTTTTTAAATTTCACATTTGGCTGTTTTTGTTAGCCTTTCGCGGCCAGGAGCTGGTGTCATAATCGAGGTCACGATCTGATTATAGGACGGTAAAAAGTCGAGGGAAAAAAACAAGCACAAGCAGCACAGTCAAGAGATTATTAAGAGTTAGTTCCCCTCACAATTGTGAGGTAGACTCGACCAGTGTTAGTTAGCTTACTTAATCAGAGCTTGTGATTGATTTTAACTGTGGCCCCAAAGGGGTGAACAGGGTATATGTGGCAATGAAACAGCTTTGACTGCCATGCACATGTTCCCTTCAACTCTATTCCAGCCTCACTTTAAGCTTACTTAATCAAAGCTTGCGACTGCTTATGGAGTGGCCCGAGAGGGGTGAGGAAGCTATTTCTGTTGCCGTGAAACCGTTTTGAATGTTAGGCATACTGTTCGTTGTTGGTTACGAACGTCTTTTTACATTTAATTTATGAGGTTTACGTTTGAGGATGAATTTGACAGCGACAATGTTTCAAAATTAGAAAGGGAAGCAGTGATTATTTGATATATAGACGCTTCGCCCCTGATCTTTCTATCTATCTATCGCTTAGCGCTAGCTAGCTATCTTCCCTTTGATGAAGTCCCCACTATCTCCCTGTCTTTTTCTTTCTATCTCTCCACACTGCCCCTTACCCCCTCCCCCCCCCCCTTTATTTGTGACCGCCAACCCACCACCACCAGCAGGCAAGACTTAGTCGCGCGTGGGTCTAGGGGAAACAGATTCGAAGATCTCTTCCCTCCTCAGATGTGATCAGCAGATATCCCCCCAAGTTGTTTCCCCTGGCCTGGCAGGGTGTGGAAAGGAAACATCAGCGGTGGAGCCACTGGCCGGAACACTGTTTTCATAAAGCTGCTTTCACTTCGCCCGCGTTGAGAACACCAGGGTCGCCGGCCGTCCCAAGGCAAAGCGCTAAAGGAGGAGGGACTGTGATGCTGAGGAGATGTTGATCTGTCTTGA